TACATCATTGTGACCATACTCTACTCAAGTGCATTCTGGGGTTTCATGAGTGTGCTGGATATTCTACATTAGCTATCACACATTACTTCATCCATCCACTCATTTATTTATCATTAGTAAGTGCTTTATCCTGGTCTTTATCCAAATTTCTGGAACAGTGGACGCAAAGGAGGAACACACCCTGGACAGGACTGCAGTACCAGACATGGGGACAACTTAATGTAATGTAACCTAATGTAACCTAATGTTATGTCTACGTTAGCTATCGGACATTACTTCATCCATCCATCCATCCATCCATCCATCCACCCACTCATTCCTTCATCTTCAGTAAGTTCTTCATCATGGTCAGGGCTGTAGTGGATCCAAATCTCGGTAACACTGGGTGCAAGGGAGGAACACACCCTGGATGGGATACCAGAACATAACAGGGCACCACACACACAGTGGAGCAATATTTTTTTTTTTTAAAAATGATTCACCTATTGGCATATTTTTTTTGGCAGTGGCCCTCTCACAAAAACACAAGACGAACATGTAACATGCATGCACGGACAGAGTTCTGGATTGAATAGGCTGGCTGTGTCACCATGCCACTTCAGACATTACTTATTAATGGCAAAACTATGTAAATATTGCACTGTATAATGAATAAAGTGCCGTTTCGGACATACTGTAGGTGTGATGCTGATGTTGATGACATCATCAAACAGAGGGTTATTAACCATTCAAACACAGAGCTCAAGAATGTTGAATCTCAGTACAAGACAGTTTGGAACGTGTCAGACCACTGCACCACAGAGATTAGGGTTTATATGTGCTGACTGTTAAATGAAGGGTCTGGCTGTGTGACCCCTCTTCTGTAATTTCCGGTCTGCCAGTGCTTTACTAGGAAAGGTAAATAAACACTAAAGAGAGAGAGTGAGAGTGGGAGAGAGAGAGAGAATTCAGAATTGAACACAATGACTGTGTCACCATGCCACTTCAGACATTACTTATTAATGGCAAAACTACCTAAATATTGTAGTGTATAATGATTAAAGTGCGGTTTAGGTCATACTGTAGGTGTGATGCTGACGTGGTGTATGTGTGTGTGAGTGAGAGAGAGAGAGAGAGAGAGAATTCAGGATTGAACACGGTGACTGTATCACCATGCCACTTCAGACATTACCTATTAATGGCAAAACTATCTAAATATTGTACTGTATAATGAATAAAGTGTGGTTTTCAGACATACTGTAGGTGTGATGCTGACATGGTGTGTGTGTGTGTGTGTGTGTGTGTGTGTGTGTGTGTGTGTGTGTGTGTGAGAGAGAGAGAGAGAGAGAGAGAGAGAGAGGGAATTTAGGATTGAACTTGGTGACTGTATCACCATGCCACTTCAGACATTACTTATTACAAAACTACCTAAATATTGTACTGTATAATGAATAAAGTTTGGTTTTTGACACACTGTAGGTGTGATGCTGACATGGTGTGTGTGTGTGTGTGTGTGTGTGTGTGTGAGAGAGAGAGAGAGAGAGAGAGAGAGAATTCAGGATTGAACACAGTGACTGTATCACCATGCCACTTCAGACATTACCTATTAATGGCAAAACTATCTAAATATTGTACTGTATAATGATTAAAGTGTGGTTTCGGACATACTGTAGGTGCGATGCTGATGTGGTGTGTGTGTGTGTGTGTGTGTGTGTGTATGTGAGTGAGAGAGAGAGAGAGAGAGAGAGCAAGAGAGAGAGAGAGAGACAATTCAGGACTGAATGCAGTGACTGGGTCATCACAACACTTCAGACATTACCTATTAATGGCAAAACTACCTAAATATTGTAGTGTATAACGACTAAAGTGCAGTTTAGGACATACCGTAGGTGTGATGCTGATGTGGTGGGTGTGTGTGAGTGAGAGAGAGAGAGAGAGCAGGTTGTGATTTCTCTGCTGCACCACGTTTGCTTTTGAACACAGGGATTTATGGTCGGGGGGAAAAATCCCAGCAGCCGCTGCGCGACAGAGCCCTGGCGCCCTACCTGCGCGCCTATAAATAAGATAGCTTCCACTCGAGCGCACACGGAGCGAAAAGGAAAAACGAAGGCAGGAAAGAGCACAGTGGACCCTGTAGAGTTTAAAAACAACATGGTATAGTGTTAGTTTGTTGGGAAGCTACCTTTAAAACACAACATACCCGCACTCAATGGTACGTAATCGTAATGATGGTTATCCTCTGTCCTAACCCTGTGCTGTTCTGGACACTAATGCCAGTCTAGGAAATGAACTAGAAGAAGCGCAAGGCGAGACAGAGTGATGGAAAATGACTGCACTTCCGGGAAAAGTTGGGCGCAGCGCGGAAGAGCACCTCGGAAATCCGTGCCGCTCACGCGCTACTAACAGAGCGGCAAACTTTCACATCTACAGTTACACGGACATGTGCAATATGTGCAACATCTAAGAGTTTCTGTGAAGAAATAGCTATGGCTTCACCCAGTCACGACCTCTCCACAGACATGAGCTAAATCCCAAATCCCTCGGACGCATAGTGCACTGCATAGTGCGCCTAACACATATTTCATACCCTGTGTAGCCTATATAGGGAATGACGTGCTATTTGGAATTAAGCCAGCATTCTGCTCAGTGCCTACAGACTATCAGACAAAAAAAAAAAAAAAGAAAGGTAGACCATAATATAGCAATGCATGCTTTTCTCTTTCCCTCTGACTTATTTCTAACAGCAGTAAATCCATTCAGGGATATACCCGCATTACAGTGTGAGCTCAGTTCTCTATTAAAATCCATAGATACAGTCGCATAAAATATTAGAATATATACACTGATAGACTTCTTGGCACCTGTTGGGCATCACCATGCAGTAAAACTAATAAGGAAACACAAGAGTAAAACAAAACATACATGCGTAACACACACATCACCAGCCAGCCCTGTTTAACTCCATTATCCACATCATAAACAAAACATATGAACAAATATCATTTAAAGACAAGCTCGATATAGACTAGATAGTTGGAGGTGAAACGAGTTGAAGGTGTCGATTGAGGAAGCAGTTTGGCAACATGAATTTTTTTTTTCTGAGCCAGATTATATCCAAATTGCATGCATCTGAAATCACAAATCAAAACTGAATCATTGTGAAAGTGAGAAAAGAGATAAAGCTCGTTCTAGCTTGCTTATCTCAATTCAGTCGTGTAAAAGGGAACGCCGTGTGAATCAATCTCTCCCTCTCTCTCACACACACACACACACACACTCGCGCGCACAGGCGCACACACACACAGACACAAGACGTGGGCGCGAGCGCACACACAGCGTTCACCCCTAATGAACGGAGCCAAAGGAACGCTGAACTTCGCAGCTGAGCTGAATATAGATGCGAGTGGAGTTGAGTTTTGCTCGCGCTCCAAAACACCCTTCTGCATTCTGCCTCTATTGCAAGGAACAAATAAACACACATGCATTCACCAAGTAAATGCATAAAAAATGCATGCTTATGCAAATAAAATAAAATAAAAAACATGAGTTTGATTATTCAGTCCGATATATTCACTTGTCTCACTGCACAACTCATGCCTGACACAAAAACGGGATAAAGAGATGCATGAGCACGCGCACGATAAGGCAATCTGAAAATAAGTCTAAAAGAAATGCCATAGCGCACACAGAACTGACAATCTGAGTCACAAATCAAGGACGGCGGTCCAGATCCAGCAGAAGAAGAACAGCGAAAAGCCCGATTATTCCATGCACAGAAATGTGCTTTACCTGGGAGGCGAGGAAGGCGACGAGGACGCGGGCTCCCAACTCCATGATCTCTAATCACTCAGCACGTAATTCAGAAAGGCGCGCAGCTCTGGCCAGCTCTGCTCATAATGCCGGAGTGCAAGTGGCGCTGCGAAGAGTGAAGCCACGAAGCCTCGAGCCAACTTCCTTCCACACTACAAGTGCAGCCTCGCGCGCTGAGGCATTGGATAGAGGCGCCGGATCTGCGACCAATAGATTTACAGGGGCGGATATCCTCCTGCACGCGCGGACACTGACACGCAAATATAAGCGTGGGGGTTTTAATATGAGCTAGACTGCAAAAGAACGCCCTGTTTATTATTGCATGAAAATTATTTATCTAAGCATATATAATTTATCAGCACTAGCTTTTAATAAGCTTGCATATACAGTATACTGTATAGCACCATGATGAATCGTGTTACTGTATTACAAGGATACATTTATTGAAACAAAGAATACTGCTAGTATTTTTTGGCATCCTGACAAATCTCATTGCTCATTCATTCATCTTCAGTAACCACTCTATCCCGGTCAGGGTTGTGGATCCTATCTGGACCGTGAGACTGGCCGTGAGGCGGGAATACACCCTGGATGGGATGCCAGTCTGTCACAGAGCACCATGCACACACACTCAGTCACTCACTTTCAGTAGCTGCTTTATCCTGGTCTGGGTTACAGTGGATCCAAAGCCTTTCCCAAGAACACTGGGCATGAGGCAGGAATACATGATTGATGGCGTGCCAGTCCAGTGCTAGTTTAGAGCAGCCAATCCACCTCCTGGCATGTTTTTGGCAGAGGCGTAGCTATAGGACTGGCAAAACAAGCAATAGCTTGGGTCCCCAGTTTTCAAGGGCCCCCCGATGTATGACACTAAGTCCATGAAAAGGTCAAATCTCAAAGTGCTGAAACACCTCAAAACCTCTAACGGGTGATGTACAACACCATACCAGGACCTGGGCCAAATCTGTCTAGCATGTTGGACTTCAAGTTCATTTAAAATTGTCACACTTTTCAAAATGAAGAGAAGTTGTTGTTGTTCATCTTTCAGCTGCTCCTATTAGTGGCACCACCACAGATCATTGGTCCGCGTTTGATTTGGCACAGTTTTTATGCTGGATGCCCTTCCTGACACAACCCTCCCCAGTTTTATCCAGGCTTGGGACTGGCACTGAGAGCACACTCTTGCATGGAACCCCAGTGGCTGGGGTTAGTTCCCTGGACCAGGAATCAAACCGTAGCCACAGCAATGAGAGCACTGTGGCCTAACCACTAGTCCTCCATGGACCCTCAGAAGAAGAAGAAGGAGAACTGTTGTAAGTGGTGGAAGTATTCTAATAATAAAATAATTAGGGATAACCGTAGGCTAAGCCATAAAGTAATGTAGCACTAGCTCAACATCAGCAAGCAGCTGCCAGGCATTGATGCTCGGCTAGGAGCTCTTAATGTTAATTATTTAACTTGCTTTCTTGGTAATTTGTGCCATTTTGCTCAAATTGTCTTGACAGTTTGGTCTTTTTATAGTACAGGATATACAAAGCCAACACTTTACCAAATGTGTTCTGTTATAGCCTATGTGATGTAGAAATGGTTTATCTAACTGGGAAGCTTGATCTAGCACCACATAAATAATATAACACAAACACATTCAGACAGTTATCCTATAGTTGGATAACTATTGATTTTTTATCATGGGATCTGGGTAACATAATGGCAATAAAGAGGAAAAAATTGCAGGAAGACCCTGTGCATTTTCCTGCCTTGGGCCCACACAGTCCCTAGAACCACCTCTGGTTTTTTGGAGGAGGGAGGAAACTGGAGAACCCAGAGGAAACCCACATGAACATGGGCAGAATATGTGAAACAGTAACCCGAGCTCAGGATCAAACCAGGACCCTGGAGCTGTCAGGCGGAAACGCTACCCACTGCATCATAGTGCCACCTCTTTCTCTTGTTGTTAATGCAAATTTGCTTTACATTACTGACCCATGACTGCAAATCATTTTCCTTTGCAAAGATGCTTACTATTACTATATGTACTTCCTACTATAGACTACCTCCTATAGTAAAATACACTTATGAGACATGCACATTATGCTAATAGCCTTACTGAATTAAAGGTAAAATAAAGTCATTATTATCAACGATTATCCACTTATCAGTCCTGGACAATGAGTAGAAGATATTTTGTTCCATTTTTCGATATAAAACAGTCTAATTAATGTTTTCAGAAATATTTCCTTGACCTCTATGTTTCAGACAATATTAGAGTATTTCAGGTAGATTGAGGTCAGGATTCTGAAGTACCCATTGACTCTCTACCCCATGCTCTGTAGCATTATCACGCTGAATAAACCTTTTTTATTACAGTTTTAGAGACAAACAATGACATTCTGCAGGAGAATGTTCTTATTTACTTGAGATTAGTCTGCCTTTGATTGCATGGGTTCCAGACCTTGAGAGTTGAAAGTAGCTGCAAAAATAATACTATCTTCACTAGGCTTTATGATTGGAATGAGGTTTTGGTATTTTTATGTAGAGCAACATAGTGGGCATGAGATTGGGTTCAAAGATTGTAAACATTAAT